TGGAACTAAGATTGGGTTAACTATAAAAGAAAGGCACCACCATGGGTCTAAGGCACGCATTTTATATTCTGAACGGTGAGTTAAGCACTTGATCTATCTTTGAGAGATAACTGACTTGATCGTCGGAGTGCCTCCGGGTGGACGAACCACCACCGGAATTTCTTCTTTCTGTTGTAGGTCAATTAGGCGCCATCTATTCTGCCAGTGCTGACCAACTGAATACTGAGTTGGCAGTGTGGTCAGAAATTCACTCACATAGATCATGTCCTTATCATTATAGTCATATTAATGACAATCTATTGGGCTATCAACATTAATAAAATTTTATATAAGCAAAATACTACAAATTTACCCTTATCAATTAGAATTTATCCACACAAAAAAAAAATCAATAATTTAGATTTAATTCATATGTTAACCCCACACTTTATTAATTTAATTTTCATTACATAAGCACATTTGGAGTAAATTGCGGGTCGATAAGGGTGGTCCCTAACATTTTTGTTTATATAATATATGTTATTGGGTTTGCTAATTTTCGGATATAGAACTGAACCAATATATGTTGACAAAATTGAACAAACCCATGAAAAGAACTATGAAGGAGAAACCAAATTCATGTCTATTCCACAAATTCATTGAATATAGCATGGATAACCCATGAAAACAAATTCATTTCTAAATCCATTCATATAATACTTTTCACACCCACTATATACATTATAATCTTTGTACCTCACAAATAAAACTGAGTGTATTCAATATCCCCTCAAAGTCACGGGTGTAACATGACTACGGCTGCAAACAGACAAGCTAATATAAAAAATAATTTTTTTTTTTTTTTTTTTTTTTTGGGACGAACTGATTGTTGTTGAGTACATGGATGAGGTCGGGAATGACAGAGCTCCATTGTTGCCCTCTGATTCTCACCAGAATGCTCAGCTAGGTTCGGGGCACTGTTTGGGCCTGCAGTGTCTACCACGGGTCTCGTTTTAACGATTCAAACGATTCATTTTATCGGACATTTTATGTATTTCATTCACACACACAAAAAAATTTAAGTCAATCTGATAATTGTGGCCTATTCAATTTAACGTATTTGTTACCAAAAAAAAGATAACAATTATATTTTTAAAAATAAATTTAATTTTGTGTGAATGAAATATATGAAGTGCCCAACCAAACAAACGGTTCAAATCATTAAGATGGAAGCGCGTGACAGAATCCATCTCTTTTGTAGAACAACATTTACAACTTTTCTTGATTTATTCCCAAACAAACACAATCTGTCTGTAATTGAATGGTGTCACATTAATACACTAAAAATAGGGGTCCAACATAATTAACCTATTACAAAAAGATGTTACAATTATTAACAGATGAAATGCAGGTGTATGATTTTGGGAGGAAGACGCTATTTTCAAATGTAGAAGTAGAGAAAGAGACAGCCAAGAAGGGATTCATAGAATGTCTCAGGTGTTGGAGGGAGAGCTTGGTGACAAGCCATACTTTGGAGGTGAAAGCTTTGGCTTTGTAGACATTGCTTTTGTCACCTTTTACAGCTGGTTTTACTCTTATGAGACCTTTGGTAACTTCAGCATAGAACCAGAGTGCCCCAAGCTCATTGCATGGAATCGAAATTGGATTATCGAAATTGAAATGTGAACGGTTCGAATTATCGAAATTGGACCTAAAAGTGGGCCTAATAACCCAGCAAGTAGGAAATTAAGTAGGAACCTCAAGGAGAGGATCCTGATTCAGGCATTATTGGGAGGAAAGAGGAAATGTAAGCATCAATGTCTTGATTAGTGTGCAAAGAAAGAGTCAACAACACGTGCATTGGAAAAAAGGTAAAGTTTCATTATAAAGCTCCGTTTGGGAAGTGGGTTGGCTTTTTGACTTTTTTGGTTATTTTAGCCTGGAGCTAAAAAGCCTGGTTTGGGAAGGACTTTTGATTTTTTTGGCTTTTTTGACTTTTTTGTGAGAGAAAGAATGTAATGATTATGGATTGGATGAGGTGTTTTGTCTTATTGGGCTAAAAAGCCTATTTTATTTTTTGTGACTATTATATACTGTCTATCCACTAATTCCTAACTGTTAACAGGTTTTTTTTTAAACTACCGGACAGAGTCAAAGCTGTCCAAACAGGTTTCTTCAAATCTGTTGGAATTTCAGACATATTCAAATTCAAAACTGCCCAGGCAGTTTCAGCAGTTTCTGAACAGTTATATAACTGTAGCAGTTACCATATCTGTTCAGTTTCTAGTTTGTATCTGTTGGTAGATTTCACATCTGTTTGGACATAACTTTTTTACCTATAAATATCTACTTTTCCAGCAGTGTTGGGGGATCCAAAACAGTCTGAAAATTCATTTTCTGCTATCCTATTTTCTGCACTATTGCATATATTCTTCATATTAGTTTTTAGGAATTTTTATAGAGAGTATAGAACACAAGGTTCTAGTTCGCCAGACAAATTTGTTTGGAGTGCTACTACAAATTTGTGAAGATCATTGTATCTTCGGAGATAGATGCCATTAGTCCGTAAGCACCGTAGCGGGGCAAATCTATCTTAAGGACAGAGTGTCACATACTCGACTTGGTCTTTAATTATACATTTGGTTCGGTAAAAATAAATTTGGTATGTAATTTATTTTATTTGTTTTATTGTTTCAATTTATTTGTTTTACACAGAAGATTGTTCCAACAATCTTAAGACAAATTCGAATTATTCTATTTACAAAATTTTTCGTTTATTTCCTTTCTTCTTTCTTCTTCTTATAGAAATTATTTTCTGTGATTTTACAAAATAATATTCTAGTTGGAAAACAAATTGTAGTAAAAAGTTCACAAACCAACTTCCCAAACGGAACTTAAATAACTTTGTGATATTTTATTTGACATGGATCAATTTAAATTTAAAAAAGACCTTGTTCCACCAGTGTTTGACGTCGATGAAATGTCTATGGTTTTGATTTTGAGTACTACTAGAAAATTTAAAATTTTTATTAGATGTCTTATATGAGTGTGAGACTCACATAATGTAAAGTTCATATGAGTCTTACACTCATATAAACTATTTGATAAAACTATTAAGTCTACATTTTTATTTGATTTTTGGGACATAATTTGGATGAATTTTCCATTTGAAAAAGTCTCTAACACAAGAAAATTAATGACACCCCTTAAGGGAAAGAATAATACTTGGAAGCCCGAAATTGACTGGCTCGAAATTAGCTCGAAATCCAAAACGGCGTCGTTTTGGGTTTTTTTTTTTTTCTTTCTTTCTTTCTTTTCTTGCTTTTGAATACAGAGGAAAAGAAGAGGCGAGAGAGAGAGAAGAGAAGAGGAAGAGAGAAGGGGAAAAGATGGAGACGGTGATGGCTTCGACGGTGATCGCCGGTGGGTATCACCGATCGCCACTCTACTTTCTTTTTCTTTTTTCTTTTTTTTTTCCTAGTGTATCTGGATCTGAAAATGAAGGGGGAGGACATTGTTGGCTGATAATGATGCGTTGATGAAGATGTTGATTTTTTTATTTTTATTTTTTTCTAGTGGATCTAAATCTGAAGATGAGGGGAAAAAAAATAAAAATTGTTAGCTGTTGATCATGTGTTGATGATGATGATGTTGATGAAGATGTTGTTGATGATGTTCCCTCTTCTCTTTTCTTCTTCTTCTTCTTCTTCTGCAGCTGCTTCTTCATCTTCATCTTCAAAACAGCGAGAAAGAAAGAAGAAGGAAAAGAAAAAAAAAATTCCAAAATGAGGTCGTTTTGGATTTGGGGCAAATTCGAGCTCGGAATTTTTGGGCTCCGTATTAGGACTGTAAAGGGAAAATGATAGATCTCTACTTTCATGAAAAAAAAAAAAATTATTATTATAAATATAAAATTTACAAGTAAATTAATAAATATGACTCGAAGGCTAGTAATCTACTTGATTTATTATATATCATATTAATATTTTATATTGGATCGGTATGAAATATCACACTTTCTATATAATTTTTTTTTTTATGTCTTACTATAAATTTTACCCTTATAGTCATGTTAATGCCAACATATTATCGAGACAGTCAACATTAATACAATTTTGTGTAATATATCTTAGGGTTTTGATAGAGACCCCCTCCAATCACCACCCCCACACACACGTGGCGGATGGTGATTGGAAAAAAAAAAAAAAATATTGACCAATTAGAAAGAGAGGGGTAGGGGGGATCTTTTTTCCTATATGTTATTGGGTTTGTTAATTTTTGGATTTAAAACTGGACCAATATATTGACAAAATTGAACAAACCCATGAAAATAATTATGAAGGAGAAACAAAATTCATGTCTAACTCATAATTCATTTCAAACTCATGAAAAAAAAAAAAAAAAAAATCATTTCTAAATCCATTCATATAATACTTTTCACAGCCACTATATACATTATAGTTTTCATACCAAAGTCATGGCTGCAACATGACTATGGCTGTAAACGAACAAAGCTAATATTTAAAAAAAAAAAAAATTATTCAACTTGTTTAGTTTTGGTTTATAGAAAATATTTATCAGAAAATTTTATTTTTTTATTTTTCATATATTTTTATTTTTAATGAATTTTTTTTAATATTTAAGCAATTTTTTAAAAATTTTTTAGACACACCTAACATGAAAATACTTAAAAAGTATAATATTTGTGAAAAAAAATCTTTAAAAATCACTAAATACCAAAAATATAAAAAAAAAAAGAGAGGAAAATTCAGTACATTTTTTATATTTTTGTATATTTGTTAATTTTTTAAAATATTTTTTCACAAATACTTTACCATTTAGATACGTCTAAGTAAGGTGCATATAAAAAAATAAAAATAAAAAATTTAAAAATTTAAAAAATATTCACTAAAAATAAAAAAAAATACGAAAAATAAAAAATTAAATTTTTAAAAAATTAAATTCAGAAAACTGACAAATTGATTATTATTATTTTTTTTTAGGACGGACCTATTGACCCCCATTTCTTGGTGCCGCCTTTGCTGACAGTCACAAATTCTATATGAAATCTACATAAATTTAAAATACATATATGATCATAGGTCTTGTGTGAATCTTTAAGAGGACTATCAGTGAGTGATAATGGCTGATGAGGTGATTCTGTTGGATTTCTGGCCTAGTGTGTTTGGGATGAGGGTGAGAATAGCACTGGCTGAGAAGGGCATTGAATATGAATACAGGGGAGAGGACTTGTGGAACAAGAAGAGCTCACTGCTTCTGGAGATGAACCCGGTTCATAAGAAAATCCCGGTTTTGATTCACAATGGAAAACCAGTTTGCGAATCCCTTGTTATTGTCGAGTACATCGATGAGGTCTGGAATGACAGAGCTCCATTGTTGCCCTCTATTCCTTACCATAAAGCTCAAGCTAGGTTCTGGGCTGACTATGTTCACAAGATGGTGAGTTTAGTTGTGTTTTTGGTTTTGGTTTTTGTTTTTTTGTTTTCATTTTCTGAAAACACAAAAACTAATGTTGTATATGATCAAGAGAGAAATTTTAAGGAATTGAGAGCTTGCTATGTTACCGTGAAGGTGAACCTTCATGATCAAGATGAAAAGTCAAAATAAAATGATGAAACTATTTTCTTTTCCTGCTACTTGATCTTCTATTTTCAAAATACATGTCATTTGTCTTTAATACACTTCCAATCGCACGATCAGGACTTGAGATTTTCATATTTCGAAATCCCTATCATATCATGTGCAGTTAGAAGTGCATTGAGACAAGGAAACAAAAATTTTAAAACAGAGGATCCCTTTGCATCTTTTGGAGTTCAAGTCTATAAATTTGCTTTTAAAAAAGAAAAAAGAAAAATAAGAAGATATCTCCTCTCTTCTTCACAAAAGGCCTATAATAGAGAATGAGGATTTATATATCCATACTTGATCTGCAATTGAATGGACTCAACTAAAAAATAACGTTAACATAACCATTTCAGCTTTCACCGTTTGACATTGCTCTTAGATGTTACAAGTATTGACATATGCAATGTAGGTGAATGATCTTGGGAGGAAAATACAATGGTCTAGAGGAGAAAAGCAAGAGGCAGCCAAGAAGGAATTCATAGAATGTCTCAAGGTGTTAGAGGGAGAGCTTGGTGAGAAGCCATACTTTGGAGGTGAAACTTTTGGTTTTGTAGACATTGCTCTTGTCCCCTCTCACAGCTGGTTTTACACCTATGAGACCGTTGGCAACTTCAGTGTAGAGGCAGAGTGCCCTAAGCTGATTGCATGGGCCAAGAGGTGCTTTGAGAGGGAGAGTGTTTCCAAGTCTCTTCCTGACCAGCACAAGGTCTATAACTTTGCTATGGGTTTGAGCTAGAAGCATGAAGCATGAGCATACTAATACCATCATACCGGCTGAATAAAAGAAGTTAGATATCGCTATTTTGGGGAGGACCAATTACTTGTCTGGGATACTGTCTGTCTCATAGCACCTCTTTACAGCACCATGGATCTCTCTAACCTGATCTCGTACGCTAAAGAGGGCCCTTGAAATGAGGGTACAAGGAGATCCGGACAGATAATCCCTTATTTACTTATGGTTAGGCTCTCTATGTTCTGTAAAAAAAAAAAAGAGAATTGATCTATGGCAAGGCTATCAGGCTTACCAAAGTCAATTTTTAGCTAAACATCTAAAAAATCATTCTTTAATGACGAGAGCTAAATGCCTTGCCAAAAAAATGACAAAGTCAAATCTTATACCAACTTTGCCTTGAAATTTGGCAAAACCATTTTTGCCACAACAACAAAATTAAATCATGATCACCGAAGACTTTTTGATGAACAGATTTAATGATCCAAAATTATTATGAGAATTAATTGTATCAAAATAGTATGTGAACTATTAAAATGGTATATAAAAAAAATAAAAAAATTTGCACGGTAGCAAACCAAAAAATAACGTTAACATAACCATTTTCAGCTTTTAACGTTTGACATTGCTCTTAGATGTTACGAGTATTGACATATGCAATGTAGGTGAATGATCTTGGGAGGAAAATACAATGGTCTAGAGGAGAAAAGCAAGAGGCAGCCAAGAAGGAATTCATAGAATGTCTCAAGGTGTTAGAGGGAGAGCTTGGTGAGAAGCCATACTTTGGAGGTGAAACTTTTGGTTTTGTAGACATTGTTCTTGTCCCCTCTTACGGCTGGTTTTACACCTATGAGACCGTTGGCAACTTCAGTGTAGAGGCAGAGTGCCCTAAGCTGATTGCATGGGCCAAGAGGTGCTTTGAGAAGGAGAGTGTTTCCAAGTCTCTTCCTGACCAGCACAAGGTCTATAACTTTGCTATGGGTTTGAGCTAGAAGCATGAAGCATGAGCATACTAATACCATCATACCGGCTGAATAAAAGAAGTTAGATATCGCTATTTTGGGGAGGACCAATTACTTGTCTGGGATACTGTCTGTCTCATAGCACCTCTTTACAGCACCATGGATCTCTCTTGTTAATGTACACTAAACCTAACCCACTAACCTAACCCACTACATCCACCCCACTAAACCTAACACACTTACCATCTCCACTACCACCCACCACCTCCACTACCATCCACTACCACCACTCACTAACCCAAACCCTCTCCTATATAATGCCACTCTGATTTGTAATACAATACATCAAAACAATCAATCTTGTAATCAATAAATCAATAATACATAATTTCTTACATCTCTAACCTGATCTCGTACGCTAAAGAGGGGCCTTGAAATGAGGGTACAAGGAGATCCGAACAGATAATCCCTTATTTACTTATGGTTAGGCTCTCTATGTTCTGTGTGTAATTTTTCATTTTTGTTTTCTTGTCTATGATGGTTTGAGTTTGTTTTGTTGTCTTTTTGTTTATAATAAAGGAACACTCTTGTTGTGTTTGCGGCATGTCATAGATCCAAAGGGCTGGCATGTTAGAAATGTTCTTGTTTTTTGTTTTTATTTTATTCAAATTTCTGGCTTGAACACATTTTTAATCCCACAATGCGGTGAAAATTATATGACAAAAATATTTGACTAAAAATGCATTAGAAGAGAGGGCTAGAGAAATTTGAATACAAAAGATTTTTGGCCCTTCTTTTAGAACTCAACAGAAATACATAGCTGAGCAGCTAGGATTTTGGGATGGAGAATCTCATGTTAGATAAGCATTTGAAGAACCTGATGGCATTGTTGAATCCAATGATAAATAAACAGAAAATTATAATGTGGCTCAATGTAGACTTTTTTACTTGAAAACAAAGCACCCCCGAAGCAAATTTTTATTTATAAAACTGACATTGTCATATCATTTTTATGATATTTGTTTATATGAATATAGTTTTCCAATAGCTTAAGCTTTTGGATGTGATTTAATATGGTATGAAATTTCAAATTAAGACAGATCTTGGGCTTCTCTGCCTATGTTGATGTTTGCATCTCTATGTAAATATTTCCATTTGCATTCTATTTCTCTACCTATATTGATGTTTGCATCTCTACGTAAATATCTCCATTTGCAATGTATCTCTCTACCTATTCATGTTTGCATATCTACCTATATTTCTCTATTTCTCTACCTATAATGTATTTAAAGGAAGTTAAGAGTTTGATGTGCATTATTGAGAGCCTTCTGTAATAGTTTAAGCTTTTGGATTTCCTTCCTCCCTCCCGTTCTCGTTAGTAAAAGAAAATTTTGAAAAAATTAATAGTCTTGGGAAGCATATGATGCCACCAATTATCAATCATCACTCAACATACATGTAACAAACCCCACCATGTAAACTAATTAGATTCGAAATACCAAGTAGCCAACAATTTCTAAAAGATCAATGTGGAATAGTATTTTAGTGATCCAAGATCAAGAACCAATCACTTTCCCAAATTAATAGACTTTTACTTATATTTCCACTCTCAACCATGTCCACAAACAAAAGGTGCCATTGAAACAAAAAAACACAACTTGATAACATCAACTAGGTAGTTGATAGGTCAAAAGACACAACGAAGTGTCTTCATACTATTTAACTTGTGAAAGCAAAGACAAACTACATGGGAACCCCACAAAACAACCCTTCAAAAGATGGAAGTGAAAGATGATTTTAACTAAACACTTCACCACCATCTACTCAAGCCCATACTTCTCCCTCAAGATCTTAACAAACTCATAGACCTTGTGCTGGTCTGGAAGAGTCTTGGCCACGCTCTCCTTGTTCATGCACCTTTTGACCCACGCGATCAGCTTGGGGCACTCTGCCTCGACGCTGAAGTTTCCAAAGGTCTCGTAGGCATAAAACCAGCTATAAAATGGAACAAGCGCAATGTCAATGTATCCGAAAGTTTCGCCTGCAAAGTACGGCTTGTCTCCAAGCTCTCCTTCTAGCACCTTGAGGCATTCTATGAATTCCTTCTTGGCTGCTTCCTGCTCCTCTTTCTTCGATGTCCATACTTTCCTTCCACCATCATATACCTGCATTAGACAATATGTCAGTTCTAATCCGGTGGAATTTGATATAACAAGTTAAAATTGTGGACAATTCAGGGCCTGTTTGGTGTGTGTTTGGGGGGGGTGGTTTGTTTCAAGCAAGTGAATGAAAACATGCATATCACAAGTAAACCAAAGTTCATTCCCACTATAAGAAAAACATGATTTTGTTTTCTAGAAACATGTAATGCAACCTAATGACGCCTTAGTTTAAGGTCCTAAACACAAGAAGGGGTAAAGAGTTTCTGAATACCCACAATGGCCTATTAATACATCTTAACAGATTACAATAACAATTTGTTAAACACATGAACACAGGGAAAACATTGCAAAGTAGAGCAAGTTGGTTTTAGCTTTAGATGAATTCCTTTTTGGAATTCCACTAGTCTAATATTATGTTTTAAAAAGTAAAATGTTACAACCTAAACAAATTGAGCTTCTGAATTAGTTTTGATCATAGTCCAATTCCAACCAAACCCACATTAATTCCTACACCCTAATTCAAGAATAATCAACATACCTTTTTTTTAAACATAAATCAACTGTGGTTTCATTCTCTTTCCATTTACAAATCAAGAAAAAAGAAAAGTGAATGAAACCCTTTTCATTTCCCACACTTTTCCCCATTTACTTTTCCATTCAACCACAATTGTCAAATGATTTCATCCACTACCCTAAATTTAACTAGTTCAAACTAAAAAACCCAACAATGAAAACATTGATAACAATGATAACCCTGTTTTAATTTTCCAAGATTTTCTTGACAACCAAACAGAAAAACAGATTATAAAAAAAAAAAACCCAATTCAAAAACTCACCTTCTTGTCGACATAGTCAGCCCAGAACCTAGCATGAGCTCTCTTGTAAGGATCAGAGGGCAACAATGGAGGGGACTTGTCCTTCCAGACCTCATCAATGTACTGGAGAGCGATGAGGGACTCGCAGACCGGTTTATCGTTGTGGATAAGAACCGGGATCTTCTTGTGAACCGGGTTCATCTTCAGGAGCAGAGGGCTCTTGTTCCTTAAATCTTCTTCTCTGTACTCGTAGTCGATACCCTTTTCGGCTAGAGCGATTCGGAGCCTCATGCCGAACATACTCGGCCAGAAATCCAACAGGACCAGTTGGTTAGACATTGTTGCAGATTTGAAGCTTGGATGCTTGGATGGCGTGGTGAAGAGCTAGAGTGCTTGGAAGGGGGTAGTGAAGAGCTAGATTGGATGAGAGACTCTGAAAGAATGTGCCGTTGTAACTTGTATATATAGCAGTTTTTATTTTATTTATACTTTTTCAAGAATTAAAAAACCAAAAAAAAAAAAAAAAGGTAATACTGGAGGTGTTTGGAAAGAGATGGTTTAGGCTAATATAGCCTCTAAAATAAAAATAACCTAAAAGCCTCCAAATTAAAAGGTTTTAAAAATTAAAAAAAAAAAAGAAAAATTAGGCTGGCAGTGGCTGTCACTGTGACAGTGGTAGGCTGTCACAGTGACGGGTAGTAGAATTATAATTTTGTCCCTATTGATTTACTTTGAAAAATGTGAGAATAGGGATAAAATTGTCATTTTAATTGCAAACATCATTTTAACACATTTTTCAATACACCAACTCAAATAAAAATCTATCACATCTTTCCAAACACAAAAATTAAAATAGCCTACTAAAATAGTCAAAAAACTAAAAAGCCTCTAAAATAACTACTTTCCAAACGAGGCCAATTGTCTAATGAAGGGTAAAAAACAAATAAAGCTACTGCATAATTTGAAAAATACTTGGTTCGAAATGGCTCGAATTTAAAAAGATGTCGTTTTGGAATTTTTTATTTTTTCTTTCTTTCTCTTTTCTTATATGTTTCTTCTTCTTCTTCTCTCTTTTCATCTCTTTCTATCCCTCTGTTCACAATCACCAATTTGAAATCAAAATAATAATAAAAAAAAATTCTTTCAACCGCCATCACCAAATTGAAATCAAAATATAAAAAAAAATTCTTTCGACCGCCATCATCTGTTCTTGCTTTGTTTTTTTGTTTTTTTCTTTTTCTTCTATAATTCATAACAAAGAGAAAAAGAGATACACAGAAAGAGAGAGAGAGAGGTACACAGATCTATCTATGTATACACAGATTTGTGTTTACACATAGAGGATGGCGATGCCGGTGATGGTGCCAGTGATGGCGGCACCGGTGATGGGTGCTCTGTCTCTTCCCCCCTCCTTCTCTCTTCTTCTCTCTTCTCTCTCTTTCTGTTTCTCTTTCTCTTCTTCTCTCTTCTCTCTCTTCGTCCCTTCGTCTGTTTCAGAGATATAAGAAGGAAAGAAAGAGAGAGAAAAAAATAAAAATAAAAAACTGCCCAAAACGCATTGTTTTGGACAGTCGAGCCATTCAAGATAAAAAGAATTTCGGGCTATGAAGAATTATTCAGCAAAAAAAAAATTATAAACATACTGAAATGCAAGTGATTTTTACTAGTAAGGTGCAAGTAAAAATTTAGGAGTGGCAAGCCTCACTTGTATCCTTCTATATTTCTTTAGGTTTTTTTTCTTCTATCCTATTTGATAATAATTCTCCCAAAAAGTACAAAAATAAAATTAGAAGGGGAATCAACATTGAAAAATTAATTACATTAGAGAAAGAGAAGTGTAAATTATACTTATCTCTGGGATAAGCTACCAGCATATCCATTCATATCTTTTTTGGAATTCTTAATTCAGATTCACATCAATGATTTAAATTACTACATTAAAAGTTATAAATACAAAAAAAAAATTTTATTGAACAATTATAAGCATGATAATATCATATTTTATTTTATAAAATAAAATGTGATTTGTTCATATGTTTATAAGTGTTCAATAAAATTGATTTTTTATATTGGTGACCTTTATTGCAAAACTTACGAGATAAACGATTCAGATTATCGATGTAAATCGAAATTGAGGCTCAAAAAAAAAAGTAGGTATGAATACGTAAAAAGAGATAAAAGTATGGAGAAAAATTTATCCACTGATCTATGCTTAAATTAGGAAAAAATATAACAAGTTTTATACTTTTAACATAATTATATATTTATTTTGATAAGGTTAAATTGATCATAATTAATTAATACTAATAGTATGTAGATATAACAATAAATGAGAAAACATATATATATTAATATAATAGGGATGAGGTGTTGTTTGGCAAGTGAGTTTGTGGCTAAAATAGTCACAAAAGACAAAATAGGCTATTTTAACCATAACAAACAAAACATCACATCTAACTCATAATCATTACACTTTTCTCTCACAAAAAGTTAAAAAAGTCAAAAAGTCAAAAAATCCTTCCCAAACCAAGCTTTTTAGCCCAGGCTAAAATAGCCAAAAAGTCAAAAAGTCAACTCACTTTCCAAACGGAGGCTTATATGACTAATGAACTACTGATAAAAAAAAAATGGAAAATGAGTGAGAGCACTAATTAGTGCTGCCACTAATGATGTGGCAGTGGGCTCCACCATGAATGATTTGATGTTTTGACCTTGGTGTTGTATTTTTTTTCTTTTTTTATTGAGTGACATGTCATTAGTGATATTTTAGAGCTCCAAAATTAGTGGTCTCTATCATTGTTGAAAAAAAATTAAGAGTTGTGTAAATTAAAATTTACAAATATATATATATATATATATATAATATGTAATTATGCAAAACTTGTCAGATTTACTTTACCCTTTTTAAATTTCAGAGAGGTCGGTGTAACATACCACGTGATAAAATAAAAATAAAATAAAAATAAAATGCAAAGCAGTGGAATTCACTTAGGTGTTGTTTGGCAAACTTAGTTTTTTTGGCTTTTTTGTATTGGAACGACAAAATTGCCCTCTATTTGAAAAAGATTTTTTTTTGACTTTTTGTTTGTATATGGGTCAATTTGGTATTTTTGCATCAAAAGTCAAGTGTTTTATCATTTTGTAATTTTGTGACTTTTTTTTGTCCTTATATGCTTATTTAGTCCCAATGTAAGAACCAAACCAAGGCTTATTCAATTAGCGAAAGAAAATAAATGTTTAAAATTCTATAAAAATTATTTTAATTTAATTTATGATAATATGACATGTTATATGTCAATTTTAATTTATCACAAATTTAATCATATAAAACCAAATTCTATTTTTAAATCATTATTAATATATTAAACTATTTAAATTGTCACTATCAATATTCTTGTAAATCAAAATACTCTTGAGTGTCTTTTTTATATTTTCATACAACCCCTCCTCCCTTTCCTTCTAGTCTTTCCTCGTGACGAGCCAGGTCTTCTCCAATATTTTCTAGAGTAGTAATAGAGAATTTTAACATTAGAATTCTAACATGGGTTCTAACGAGGCGATAAAAAAAATTAAAACATCACATCAACATGAAAAATTTATTATTATAATTTTATTAGAGATCTCAAATTAAAACTCCTAAACGACCACTCTCATAACCACTTCTAATCCCTTTCCCGTTAGGTTCTGTTTGGGAAGAAAAAAGTCATGCTTTTTTGGCTAAAATAGTCACAAAAAATAAAATAGGCTATTTTAGCCACAAAAAATAAAACATCAAATCTAACCCATAATCATTACAATCTTCTCTCACAAAAAAAGTCAAAAAATCCAAAAAGTCAAAAAGTCCTTCCCAAACCAGGCTAAAATAGCCCAGGCTAAAATAACCAAAAAATCAAAAAGCCAAAAAGTCAACCCACTTCCCAAACGAAAGCTAACTCTTTTAAAATTTCAGATCCGTCAAATTAATTAAGGGTAAATAACAGTTTAATCACTCGTGATTTACCAAAAAAAATATGAAACCCTCCATGATAGTGGAGTTATTGCATTTACCTTTTTTTTCATGATAGTAGAGTTAATTGGACATATTTATTGCGCCTTTAACAAGTGATGTAAGGATACTTATTAACAAAATTTAATATAAAATATCATAATTACTCTAGAGAAAAGCTAAATGGACGAATAAATCTATATGCACTAAATTGGTATATTACTTAATATAATAAGAGATGATGTGATATAATTTTAAATGTATTAGATAATTGTAGTTTGTATAATTGGTGGAGTTTATAGTTTTGAAATAATAATGTCATAGTATATATTGATGCACTAATTAATATATCAATTGATACATATAACATCACTCTAAATAGGCAAAAATAATTTATAAAGTAAGTTTTATTTTTTAGGATAAATTACAAATACGCCTCCTGAGATTTTTTTAAAATACAGATTGTTCCTTGTGATTTGAAAAATTATGAATACCCCATTGTCATAATTTTTTATTTAACAGAATTAATTGAAAAAATGAAATTCATAATTGTTCTCGTTTATAATAATAAAATTACCTAAATTATTAATTGAAACATATTCTAACATTATTAAAAACTGTTAATTGACTTGATAATTTATTAATAAAATAGAAGATTTGTTATGAAATTAGAAACATCAGGGGTGAAATGTAATTTTCAAAAACACAAAAGGTAATTTGTATTTTAATCAAACGTCAGGGGTATATTTGTAATTTATCCTACTTTTTATATAGGGGTGTTTTAAGAACACACTAAAAAAGTTAAAAGTTAACTTTTTATCCATTTTAAATCACATCACCTCTTACATAAAATAATAAAAAAGGCAAAAAAAAACTTAAAAAAACTAGCTTTTTATCATCTTCATAAAACACCATGTTATTTATTATCGATCCTGTGAGCAATTATGTATTTGTAACAAAATTCTCTATTTATTGTATTGTACTCCTTCCGTCTCAAAATATTAGTTCTTTATTTTATTTTTTATTATTCCAAAATATTAGTTCATTTTCAAAAATCAAGTACAAAAGTAATATGAATTTCTTATTTTTTCATTCTTTTAAATTCATTAGTAATATAAAAAATATAATTATGACATTGATATTCTCTAAAAAAAAATATACTATTAAAGAGTAGTTTTAGAAGATTAATTTTTTTACAGTATATTAATTGTATTATCAAAAAATAATAATAATAATAATAAAAAAAAAAAGAGACTACTATTTTGGACCGGATTGAGTATTAGATTTTTAACGGTTATATTAGAGTAATAAATTTATCATTAAAATGCAATATTGATATCAAAACGTTTCTCAATTTTCACGCCAACCCTAGGATTATGGGAGAAATGTCATTGCATACGTCACACCAATAATAGTACGGTGTTTGACTTCAATTTTTTTAAAATTAATCACCCTATTTGGTTTGAATTTTTTTATTGGATTTTTAAAAAATTCAATTTTTTATTTTTCGTATTATTTAATTTTTAGTGAATATTTTTCAAATTTTAAATATTTTTTTATTATTTTAGATATACCTTATTTAAATGTATTCAAAAAGTAAAAATATTTTAAAAAATTAATAAATACAAAAAAATGTACTGAATTCTTGTATTTTTTGTATTTTTGGTATTTAAAAAATTTACAATTTCTTTGCTTTTTAGGTGTATTTATGTTAGGTGTATCTAAAAAGTAAAAAAATTACTTAAAATATTAAAAAAATTCAGTAAAAAAAAAACACGAAAAATAAAAAAGTAAATTTTTTTGAAAAGTATATTTAGAAAACCAAAAACAAGCAAAGTGAATATTTCTTTATTGCCAGATAACACTTAATTTCATGTGATATTAAGAGGGTGATAACCAGAAATACAGTATTGGACATAATAATCTGGAATTCAATTTCTTTGAGCGTTTTATATAAAGCAAAGGCGACAAAGAGCAAATTATTAGAGAGAAACCTAATGTTTTTGAATTGCTTTTGAATCTGTTGCTTCAGTTCAGGTCCGCTTTGGCCTTGCCACAATTTAGCTTCATCGAATGGAAGTGGACATGCAGCTTGCAGTTTGGGGTTGTAAAGTAACTGACGCATCAAGGATTGTGCTTTCAGGTCCTCTGCATTGTTACCAGTGTCATACTCGGCCTGCTCCAAGAAATCTGCTGCCTATGAAACATTTTAAAACAAAAATAAATATTCTTAAGAAAATGTCATCATGAAACAGACTTGATTAAACTTCTCAAAAAAGGATGACATACAGTAAATACTCACTTTTGTCACAGCTCGAAGAACAAAGAGGAAAGTGAAGTACAAGTTTCTAACACGATCAGGGTATCGCAAAACACGATCATACATCAATTCAAGATTTTGCCCCCACTGCAATTGCAGAAAAGATTGTTAGATTCCCATCAATCTATGAATAAATGATATGCAATTTAAGGTTCTACTTAAGTGTAGAGGTGACAATTGGTCCATCATCATTACTGCAAACATGACTCAGTACCCATCCATTTATCAACACACGATCATTACATCAGGAGGCCAAAGCTCCTCATCATCTTTGATTAAATGGTTCAAAGTGTTTCATCTTGCACAAATGCAAGGTAATGCCCAAGAAAATAGGCTACTTAACATACCATTAACTTGACAGAAATAAGTTCCTGAAAAGATTTCTAGTGATCCAATCATTTCTACAAATTTTGGTGCGATTCTCTAGAAAATATATCACATCATTTCAGTTAAGCTTGATGGGACAAAAACAAGAAAAAGGAAAAAACCCCTATACACTTTTATAAGTAAGAAACCCTTATAAAAGATTTCAGTGATAAATAAACATGATGTGCAACAGGGAATGAGTCAGAAGGAGAACCAGGTTGGTAGATTCATCAAGAAGATAATCAGCAGCAATGTGGATTGAAATTGAGGAGTGAAGACCAGATATTAACTTGTACAAGACTTTTTTCTCCTGGCAAATCTCTCCAGAAGAATCTGCATCAAACAAAAAAATGTACTCAACAACAGAAGGCCATGTATTAAAGATGCACAACATATGAGAAATATATATGATAGGTATCTCAAATATTCTACCAAACCTCTCACATGGGGTGGGACTCACACAAATCCACATGTGTGTGGATCCCACATACATGTGAGAGGTTTGGTAGGATTTTTGGACTCCCTAGCATAACTCAATATATATACCACATTAACTGAAGATGAGATATAATCATATTCATCACTCCAAGGGAGAGAACATCAACAAAGAGATGGCTACAAACAAGATAAAATAATTTTTTAGGGCTGCTAATCATGGCCGGTATTGATTTAAAGTAGTATGATCTTCTCAACTGACAGGACCACAACTAAGCCTCATCTAAGCATTTTGACAACCTTGTTGAACAAAGAATTGTGTTGGCTCTACAAATAACCGCCAAGAGAGCAATATACCATCCTTTTTATTAAATTATAATTGTGACATATAGCATAGTCTGAAGCTGAATTTCAGAATACTCATTTAACTAATAGACTCACATTTTGGACAATTTTCTGAATATACAGCATCCCATATCCTTCTGGCAGATGGACCAACATAGCCTGTATAACGTTCAGGATTCAATTGAAGATTTACATATGTCATCTCACCTGCAGATAAATATTTATCAGTCAATCTCTCTAAATTATTCTATTAGAACGAAAGAACAAATTTGGAAGGATAAAATCGTATAATGTTTATTAATGCTATATTTCAAGACTGCATTTTTAAGGATCTCATGAGAATTATAAAAGGAACTTTAGGATGCTTAATGTCTTCATGATCATGTAACAGCATGTTCTCCAATAGTTTCATGTTGTATAATATGTGGTAGTCTGATCCTTAGTTTCGCCTTGTCTTCTTAAGATCTCAAAACAACTGCATATATCGGAAATGTCTAGCAATAAACTAGATAAATTATTGATAATATTCAGTATCATTAAAGATAGAGGCAATTACTATTGTCTGTCTCATCATCATTGGTCCACGGGTTATCTATTACCATCCAGCCTCGGAAAGCTTTACTGTCTACTGTGCGGTCAACAGTAGCCTGTGGCTTCCCCTCTTGACATACCAAATCATCAGATGGAAGCGGTTTCTTAAAAGTTTCTGGAAATTCATTTTCTGGACATTCACAAACACTGCAATCACGTAAGCGGCACATACCATCATCAGGCCAGAAAGGGCAATCACACCACAGCTTTACCTGAGAAAGGGAATAAGTACATCAGCTTTGAGGAATCACATACAAGTGATCCAAGATTCTAAAAAAATAATGTTTCAAGAAATACTCCAGCTTTAAGTTTGAATTTTGTATTAAGGACAAGACACTATCCCACTGCCAGAAAATGTGATCAGACATCCTTTCAAAGAGAAGGCAACATGTGGTATCAAGAAAATTCCTTTCTTCAACATGACAACTACTACATTAATTTTGTTTCCAGCCTGCATTTCAATCGTAGTTAATGATAATTGTAGACAGATGATCTATTTTCCTCTTTGACTATATAAAAGATAAAATCCCCAAAACAAAATCTTGCTATAGCATGAACTTTTTTGAGCTTAAAAGCATATTGTACCAACAAAGTTGTCGAGAACTTTTTCAGAAGCTTTCACTGCTTAGGAAGAGCAAACATAGTTTCTCTAGAATCAAGAAGTCACGACAACTTGACAAGGAAGTAGAATCCATCAATTCAATGTACACCCCATAATCCCATCAATAAGCAAGGTATTCCTTCAAGATGACAATAATAGATCCAGAGGCAATGCCATTAAAGATCAGCAGAAAACCAAGCTGTGGTAGCTACTTGATGAATATTTGGCTCTAACAGATTTACTTCAACATACCTTTAACAAATAAAGTGCTGGTACAAGCCATAACTACATTAGGCAGAGAAGTTCTGGCTCTAACTTGGTAACACATAATAGTAAAGGCTAATGAAATGGATGGTGCAAATGGATAAACAAGTTATAGATTTGAATCTTGTCAAAACTTGGAGAATTCCCAGGGGAATTGGTAAAATTATGAAGAAAAGTAGAAAACCAAATGGGTTCATTTATCTTGCTCTATTTCAGCTCCCAATTAATATAATTTTCCTCCTTCCCAAGAAAACAACATCAAATATGCAAATATTGAACACTTTCAACAAAATGTAAAATTCATGACTAGAAAGAAGAAGAAAAAAATAAAAATAAAATAAAATAGATAGCAACAAAAATTAAAGAAACTCGGATTTCATTAAATAAAATCCATCCACTTTGACCCAGAGCAATTCATACCAGACCTTGAAATATCGGAAAAATGGAGTAGTGACGAGCTCTTGGAGCAAAGGATGTAAAACTTCCCCATTAAGACTGTCAACTGTCTCGTAGTCACAACAGCAGTCCTCCACTATGCCTGTATATTTCCGTGAATCCTGCACCAAAAACAGAAGTCAAAACCAATCATTCATGTAACACTTTCAAATTCCTGTATTTCTTACAGAGTCATTCATTCTTTGGCTCTTTGCCAAAACTAAAAAAAAAAAGAAAAAAGATTTCAACTTTGATCCTGTACAAATTCAATCAAATACTGAAAACCCTATTCCAATTCACCAATTATAGATAGCAAGAGAGTTCCATGGAAATTGAAACAATCCAAGTAAAAATGATCCATTTTTGTCAAAGTTAAAACCAAATTGAACTGACGATTAAAAGGAGTATCCAATTCTAAACAACAAAATTAGCTCCGATCAACATACAAAAACAAAGAACTATTAAAAAAGACAATAAATGATTCTTCAATTGTAGAGAGAGAGAACCTCAGAACAGCGGCAAGACTTTTGATTGTTGATGAAGAAAGAGATCTTCTGGGAATGTAAAGAGGCGGCTGCAATGGCAACTAATACTACGATCACCGCCCCAACGAACCACCCCCACCGTTTCATACTCCTCCGATTCTTCTCGCTAACCTCCACCCCCACCTCCACCTCCACCATTACCATATATCTTTATGTATGTATGTATGTATCTATCTATCTATCAGAAAAAACCCTTGAAAGCCATTTATAACACGAATCTGGATACGATTTTAGACAAGAAAGCTCTGATATATTATTGTGGGCTAGTCGCAGCTGGTTTGAGCAGTTGAAGACTTCGAATTTCAATTCCACACACAAACTCGATCTTTTCTGCGCTTTCGGGTTCGAGACGGTTTTGGTCGACGACGATGATGAACGATGTGACGAGTCCTGGACACGTGGTGGTATATTCGTTTGTGGTTTTGATTGCTGTATTGTGTATCATTTGCATCCTGCCCTTGAACTACGCTAGTTTGATTCCTTGCAAAGGGAT